CACCGATAAACTAGACACGCATGGACTTTCATTTGAGAATATGTGAAGATTGTATCGTGCATAGTGGATATTGTGTTGTATATTATTTGCCTAACTTGTACATTTTGTTAAGCCTGGCCTATTGATAAACTAGACTCGCATGGACTTTCACTTAAAAATATATGAATATTATATTGTGTATAGTGGATATTGTGTTGTACATTATTTGTGTAACTCGTATATTTTATTAAGCCTAGTTTACTGATAAACTAGACACGTATGGACTTCCATTTTGAGTATTTCACTAGCTTGGCCTGAACAAAAATCACAAGTTAAGCAGACTATGCATGACACAACATCTACTATGCACAATACAATGTCCATGAATGCTCAACAGAAAGTCCATACATGTTCAATTTTAATAAGGAGAATTACATCATATAAGAATTTCATGTTGGTACTAGTTTAGGTAGTAAAACAAGTACCCATATAAAATTTAACATGATATTTCAAGTCTAATATATACAAAAAGTTAGTCACTATATCTAAAACATCTAACAGTTACTTCTCTATATACAAACAAAAATATTTATCATTCTCAATTACCTAAAAAATATTAATTGGGAATGCTTTCATATACATTATTATAGTTGCCTATATACACCAAAGAAGTACAATGTGACTACTTCTCATGCTAGGTTAGAATTTTTACATGTCTTATGATTGTGTCCAGCCTCTTCACATCTTGAACAATGATAATTCTTCTTGTCTTGGAATTGAGATTTTATCCTCCTAGTGCGTAGCCTCCCGAGAGGACGGCTGGTTAAAGGCGATTGCAAGAACATTTATGATAAGTTATTTATCAATGTTACTGTATCAGGCTTTAGAATGTCAAAAGTCTCAACTGGGATCATATTACCACCATAGATTTTTTCTTGTCAAGTTAAATGATATCATTTCTCAACATATTAATATATATATTGCCATGTGAAATCTTTATGGTAGCATATGCATGAGGACATGGTAGTCTAGGCATCTCCCATGCCAGGCAAGAGCATTCACGCAATTCAAGATTTACTTACACATCTCCATTTAATGTTTTCACCCTGAAAGTGTTTAGCGCATAAAAATTTGCTTGCAATGTATCACCTCTCAATACATTTTCCTTTTGCTTGGTCTCTATATTTGGTCCAACTCCATTTGTCTATTTTTTCAATGCCACTTTGCTGTTGTGTAGCTTCTTTGCTAATTTCTCCCTATGCTCGTACATAAAAACAACAATATTATATTTTCTTTCTTTGACAACCCAAGAATTAAATGACATACACATGAGCAATTCTTCTATTATATTTAAATAATTGTTCCACTGTAACATCATCAAGAAGATTTATAAATGTGCTTGAATCAATCTCAACTGTGAACCTTACATCACTTTCATTATCATCATGGCAAACTTCTAATGATATAAATGATCTTAGCTTTGTATATTTCATTCCTTTTGTTTTGGTTCTTGCAATTACATTTTCACCCTCATACTTCATACTACTATTAACACTCCTCACAAATTCACCACCATAATGGAAGAAACAAAACAATTTTTCTCTAAGCTAGTGAAATACTTGAAATGAAAGTCTATGCACGTCTAGTTTATCAATAGAACAGGCTTAACAAAATGTATAAGTTAAACAGACAATGTACAACACAATATCTACTATACACAACACAATATTCACATATTGTCAAATGAAAGTCTATGTATGTCTAGTTTATCGGTAGACTAGGCTTAACAAAATGTATGAGTTACACAGATAATGTACAATACAATATCTACTATGCACAATACAATATTCATATATTCTCAAGTGAAAGTCTATGCTTGTCTAGTTTATCAGTAAGCTAAGCTTAACAAAATGTACAAGAAGGAGGGGGAGGGGTGCTGGATAAGGGAGGGCGAGGGGGAGCTAAAAGGGAGGGGGTCAAAGCAAGGCAAAAGAAAAGTGAAGGGAAAAGAGACAATGTAAGTTTGTGTGGGAGCAAAACGGGAGGGTAATTTAAAAAATTTTTTACATCAGGAAAAGGGCGACCCATTGTAGAAAATACATATTCTACATTGGGTAGACCTTCACCCAGTGTAGAAAATATGTATTCTACATTGGGTGGAACTCATCCAATGTAGAAAATGTACTTTCTACATCGGGTGATGCCACTCGATATAGAAAGTTTATTTTCTATATCAGGTGAAGGGCCATTCGATGTAAAAATTGTATAATACTTCACCATAATTGTAAAAATGTTACCGCCTTAACTTTTTACCCCGTTTGCTTTCTAATTGATGTAAAAAATACCTTGTAAATTTCGTATTCTGTACTAGTGTTTATTTCTCATTCTATATATAAATATCTTTAGCGGCAACAAATTTTGCCACTAAAAGTATTTATAACATATTTTTTAGTTTTTTAATTATTTTTTATGAATTATAAAATAATTTATAAAATAATTAAAAAATTTAAAAAAATAATTGCATAAATTATTTCTTATTTTTAATTTTTTTATGAAAATATTTTTGGTGATGACAGTTTGTCGCCACTAAAAGTAATTACAAAAATTATTTTTAATTTTTAATTTTTTTATGAAAATACTTATGGTAGCGAAGGTTTATCATTGCTAAAAGTAATTACAAAAATTATTTTTAATTTTTTAATTATTTTTTATAAAAATAGTTACTGTCACCACTAAAAGTAATTATAAAAATTATTTTTTAATTATTTTTTATGAAAATACTTTTGGCAGTGACCATTTGTTGCTACTAAAAGTAATTACAAAAATTATTTTTAATTTTTTAATTTTTTTATAAAAATACTTTTGGCGGCAAAGACTTATCGCTGCTAAAAGCAATTTTTATTGGCAACAATTAAATATCGCCGCTAAAATTAACTTCTGGTGGCTATTTTTAGTGGCGACACAATGTCACTACCAAAAATGTACTTTTAACGGCAACTTCTAATTGATGCCCTCAAAAGTAGACCTTTGACGGTGACTTTTTTTTGCCACCGCTAAAAATCACTGCCAAAAATTATTTTTTTTTTAGATTCTAATTTTTGAATTTATGAAGGTATATTAAAGTGTTTTAAATTTTGAAAACTTGGGATCTCATTTTCTAAAACTTACAAACTTAATCTTTTTGAGTTAATCCCTTGATCACTTTGATTATGAAGTTAATTGGAGATTGATAAGGGAGACTTTACACACTCTTAGAAGCGCCATGCATATCTAAATATAATGTCTTGACTATTATTACTTATTAGCACAGTTCATTCACAAAATTGTGTGGAACAATAAGGACATAAAGTTATATAGTATCTCAACAAATGTGAAAATCCAAATAATCAACTAACAATATGATGATTATTATTATTATTATTATTGTCGTCGTCGTCGTCGTCAAAGAGATGTGCATCAACTATCATATATATACACACACACACACATATTAGTGTCACTCATAGATGATTATAGTAAGTTTTTTGGTCAACATGTATTAAGTTTCAACTAATTTGAAACCAATAAATTTAAGTTTCATCTTCCAATAATAGTTTTCTTTGTTAGCAGGATTTGAATTTGAGACATTAATTGTTTAAGAATGATGCACGTGTGACAATGCAATATATGAACATATTTTCAAAGCTCTTTGTATTATATATTTGATGTTTTCGTACATACCGCTATGAAAGAGCAAAGTCAAAATTTAATTTTGTTTAAACCCAATAATACTATATGCAGGAGTCAAATTCAAACAATAGTTACGGCTAATTGTATATGAAACAAGCAAGCAAACCAATCACCCACAGATTTTGATATTTGAAACATATATTTTTCTTGGAAAAATGATAGAAAGTAACAATACCGGTACACTTGAAACATGTAAATGACAATTAAGTCTCACGAAATGTGATAATTATTTTCTGATCTCTAAAAATTTGTCTAAAATATTTTGTGTGAAATGATATATATTTGATCTTATTTTAAGATTAAAATAAAGATACTTGCAAATTGCTATTGAATTTGTGCAATTTTAGAAAGAAAGGTTTGAATATTAGAACAAAACTTGTGAATGACAATTAATATTTGTAACACTTGAAAAATATCATGATTTTAAATTCAAACTTGTAAATTATTGTTGAATTTTTGTAAATTTAAGAAGAAAAGTTATGAATCTTAAAACAAAATTTATAAATGAAAATTGATATTTGCAATATTTGTGGAATATCATGATTTTAAATATGAACTTGTGAATTGTTTTTGAACTCTTGTGAATTTAGGAAGAAAAGTTTTGAATTTTAAAACAAAACTTGTAAATGTCAATTGATATTTGCAGCATTTGAAGATTATCAAAACTTCAAATGCAAACTTGCGAATTACTGTTGAATTCTTGCAATTTTAGAAAGAAAAGCTGTAAATCTTAAAACAAAACTTATGAATTTAAGGGTGCAAAAAATTTGTTTTGATGCTTGAGATTTTGATTTCAATCAAGGATAATTTGATCTTTTATATTAATTCCTTAATGAAGAAAAATCTCTAGAGATTTTAAAAAAATTATAGCATTTTAAAGGATCAAATATTATTTTCATAATTTAAAGGGATTTTATTGTTATTTTTCCCTATTTTCAAACACATGACGCTTGCGCGGTACTTGCGTCATATAGTTGCGTATTTGAACACGCCATTAATCAATATTTTTCGGCTCTCATAAGCATTTTCTTCGAAATAAACCTCGCGTCCACATCCTATGATTTTGACTATTATTTTTACGTGCAAGTCTATTATTATAATCGGTGCAAAATAACAAGTACTGTTGTAGTACTATGTAAAAATAATAATAAACAAATATATATTGAATAGCTTTTCATGCACACAGAAATTTCGTACCTAGCTATGGCCAAAACAATATAAATATGCATGGCGCACGACGCACATATATTATCAAACATTGCAATAAGAACATTCCTTGAAGCATTCTAATGGCATCAAAGCCAAGAAATAGTGATCCAATAATGGATCATCGCTACATTTCATGGAGGATTATGGTGACAGCCATGATTATGTTGTCATGTTGTTCCTCAAATGTGCTGGTTCGTGGAGAGACAACATGGAAGCCAACGTGGACAAAAGAGGCAGCAGAAGAAGCAGAGGTTGTGGCAGCCATAGAATGTTCGGGACATGGAAGAGCTTACTTGGATGGTTTGGTTCTCAGTGGCCATGACTTGCCTGTTTGTGAATGTAATCCTTGCTATTATGGCCTTTCTTGTTCCCAGTTTCAATCCAATTGCTCAGCAAATGCTGGAAGGTAATTCACATTGCTCATCTCTATTTTAATTTCAAATATTTTCAGGCTTAATCTTTATTATTAGATAGAAACTGTAATCTGACCTACTTGTTAGGTTGTGACGATATTTTTTTTTTAAATGAGTTATACAAATCTATTTGCATGACTACAAATTCAAGAATAGTCTCATTTACAGAGACAAAGTATTTAAAATTCAAATATACCTTTTAGCTTGCAACTGAGATTCTAATTATTTGCAATTGTCTAAATATAATATTTACAACTTATTTTTTTAAAAATATTTCAAAAACTTAACTGTCATTAATTCATAACTTAGTTTTTTTTTTAAAGAAATGGATTGCAAATATTGATTTGAACATCTGCAGTCTCAGTTGCAAATAAGGTATTGAAGCATGTAAATTTAAATTTGCATTAAGATTTCTGTTGGAAATTATTTAAATTGATATTTCAACTTAGTTTTCGGAAAATATTTGGGAAAATGTCATTGAAAGACCCCTAAAATAATTTAATTAATATTTGACAAGGATTTTTAACAAGTAAACATTAGCAAATTAACAAGTGAAGTTAATTAGTGTTTTAATAAGTTTCTTATCCATTTATAATCTTTGTCAGGTATTAAAAATGAATCAGTTGCAATGTTTAAATGCCTTGTAAACAATACATATAGTTGATTTTATATTTTATATTGATGATATTAATATTGATTGATCATGCATTAATAGTTGCGCTTAACACAAGATATATATTTCATGATATCATCATGTTTTTGTAATATTTATGCAATAATTCATACTTGTATGAATAAGAATCGCCAACATGCATGATTATATTAATTAACAAACTTTGTGTGGTGTAGTGGGGATCCATATTTCTTAGAGCCATTCTGGATGAGACGTGGAAAGGAGAGTTCGATATTAGTATCAGGTTGGCACAGAATGGGATACACGTACAGTGATGGATCTTACATCTCACAAATGTTGGTGAAGTACATTCAAAAATTGCATAAACTGGTTGGGAATGCAGAGACTGAAGGAAGATTTATTATATTTGGGGCTGGTTCTACTCAACTCCTTAATGCTGCTGTTTACGCCTTCTCTCCCAATTCTTCTTTGCATTATTCTCCTGCTAAAGTCGTTGCCACAGCCCCATATTACCCTGTAAGCTCCACAACCCTTCATTTTTTATTTTTTATTTTTCTGTGTGGAGCGTCTGTTTTTTGGGGTCCGCCCCACATTGAATTGGGGATACTTAACAGGAACTTAGACTAATCCGGATCAATCAAGTAGGGTTAAGACCATTGAGCATAAGCACTACCATCAATACGTATTTTAGGGCTCAAACCCGAAATTTTTGGTTAAGTTGATATAACTCCCTTACGAGTTGAGCCAAGTGTTCAAGGATATTTTTCTGGTTTATTTCTTTTTTGTTTTAGCAATATAAACAGATGGTTTCTACGATGATGAATGATGAAATTAAAATTGACAGTTGTACAGACAACAAACAGAGCTTTTCAATTCATTGGACTATAGATACGAAGGTGACACATCGTTGTGGAAGAAGAAGAATTTGTCTTCAGCAGAAAACAAGAACAAGACATTCATTGAGTTTGTGACTTCACCAAACAACCCAGATGGAAGATTGATGAAAGCTGTTCTTACTGGATCAAGTGTGAAGACTGTGAATGATCATGCTTATTATTGGCCTCACTTCACTCCTATTCCTTCTCCTTCTGATCAAGACCTCATGATCTTCACAATTTCAAAGCTCACTGGCCATGCAGGCTCTAGATTTGGGTAACAACTAACAATTTTCTTATTTTAATTAATCCCATTTCCATATCTGTTATATTCCTAAAATCATTAATCAACAACCATTTCATTTTAAAAGGAAAGATTGATTTAATTAATTCCTGTTTTTAAAAAATAAGTTTTAAAAACAGATATTAATTAAATTATTTTAGGACATAACCGTTATTAAATTGAATTTTGGAGACCTAGTTGTCATTATTTCACCGTTCTTTTATTATAAATTTTTATCAAGGAAAAAATGACATGTCACATTTATAAAGTTACTTTAATTTGTTTACATTCCATTTCACAAACCAAATGAACCCTAATTAAGAATCACAACTTTCACTGCAGAGATAATTATTAATTATTGATGTGCGTTGTGATGATATCATAGGTGGGCATTGGTGAAGGACGAAGCTGTATATCAAAAGATGTTGACATATTTGGACTTGAACACCATGGGAATTTCTCGAGAATCTCAGTTGAGAGCTTTGAAGCTTCTTGATGTTCTTCTTGAAAGTGATGGCAAAGAGATATTCAAGTTTGGATATTCAACAATGAAAAACCGATGGATAAGGCTCACACAGACCTTATCCTCATCAAAACGATTTTCTCTTCAGAAATTAACTCCTCATTATTGCTCCTTTTTCAAAAGGGTTAGAGACCCTACACCAGGTAATAATTAATCAATTTAATTGCATGATTTATTATAATATAATATGAGATGAACGGTAATATTTATGATTATAGTTTTCCCTTCATCACCTTATTCATATTTTTAGGAATTAAAACTTGCCCCTGTAATACAGAGGGATTAAAATATATTTTAATCGATATATATTAATTTTAATTGTTTAATTTATAAATTTTCATTTGAAAATCACAGTTACTGAGAAGTAGTTGTACCTTCATGGAATTTTTCAATTTTGACAATGTCAATTTGCTCAAGGTTTGAGTAGTCAAGTCAACACGGTTAAGGTTTGAGTAGTCAAATTCAGCTCTTCAACATTTTTCAATTTAGGTCTTTGTTTTGGATATTTGAAAACTATTATTTTTAAAATGTTAATTTAAAATCTAGTATTTAAGATGTCACATGAGAGTCAACCTTAATGGATTTTTAATGGGTTGAATTGTAATTACGTCCCATAGTTTCTACGTTAGAAATTAAATAATTCTGAAAAACATTTACGGTGAAAAACTCAAAAAGGATTCTTAATTACACCTAGGAGTTCTACGTAATTAATTAATCTCAGTGTTGAGTAATTAAGAAGTGTTCGTCTAGCTCCCGGTTCGATTGGCTTAGTCTTATTCAATCAACACTTAGGGAGTTAGGGTAGACTAGAATGAAATAAAATATAAATAAGAAATGAGTGTGATAAGGTTAGTAAAATGGGCTGGGCCGAGCAGTATAGGCTGAGATATTTTGTTGCCCAACCTGGCCCATAACACTTAGTGATTGAATTTTGGCAAAACAAATTCATGATCATTGAACTTTGATTTAGTTCACTTAAAATAGAAATTATTAGAGAGAAAGACATTAAAATTTCAAAACATAAAATTAATAACAGTTAAGTTTTTAATAAAATTTTTTAAAATTAATTAAAAATATTATTAATTTAGACAATTGTAAATATGAATTCTAATTAAAAATTGAGAATTATATTTTATAAATTAAACGTCTTTTTTACCATTAAAACTCCAGAAATTGCAATTATTTAAATGATATTCGTAATTTATTTTTTAAAATTTTATCTATACCTTTTGTCTTTTTGAACTTAATGTCTCTCTCTCAAGTTATTAATAGTCTTAACATATGGTTACCATATATATATATATATATATAATTGAATTTGATGTACGTGACAGCATATGCATGGTTGAAGTGTGAGAGAAAGGAAGATAAAGATTGCTATGAAGTGCTGAAAGCAGCAAAAATAGAAGGACGTGCCGGAAGTACGTACAGTGCCGATCCTCTTTATGTTCGTCTGAGTCTCATTAGAAGCCAAGACGACTTTGACATTCTCATCAGCCATCTCCAGAAGCTCATTGCTAAATCTTAGTCTCTCTCTCTCTCTATATATATATTTATATTTATATCTATATATGTATATAATTGATGAATAATAAAAATCCACATACAATAATGGTTGTTGATGATCGATGTATAAAGTTTATAATTATTGATAAAATCAGTTGTGTGTATGAACAATTAATGGTCGGATTCGGGTCACTCTATGGTGGGCTAATTTAAGTGGTCCTGATGAGGATCCTTATATTTATGTATCATCATAACATTTTATAGTAAAATTATTTTCTAGCTTGTTGCCAAAATGAATTACCCTTATTATTATGCTTTAGTCAGCTGATGAACATTAATATTATTATTGATCAATTTATTTGTTGTTGTTGAACGAATGCAGCAATCGAATAGAGCTATAATATCCACGCTGTTAAAGATAGCCAACTCTAACTTGCATACCTGCCTTAACTCCCAAAGTTAAGTGTACAAAAAGAAACACTCAACCAAAAAAAATCAGATCTAGCTGCATACCTGTCAGCTTGACTGGCTCATCAACAGATAATGCCTTGGATTTAACCAGGGGGTGATTTTGATATGCTCTATACGATAATGATTGATCTGCTCCATGCGCAACAAAGAAGCTCGGAACACAAACGGAGACATATAATAAAAATCAATATTTGTAAACATGGACCAATCTAACTAGGTTGACTTGTAAATTGATAAACTAGTCACCTAGGCAATTTGGTTTATTGATCAAACCAGTCACTTTTGTAACCCAATTTCAACCCAGGAAAACTTGGATCAACCCAGTGGATTGAATGGGTTGACCCTAAATCAAATTTAAATCTCTTAATTAATATTTGTAATTTTATTGTATTTTATTATTGTCATAAACTTATAATTAATATTTCTACAAGATATGCATAAGATTTTATGGATCAATAGTCTATTTTTAAATATTTTTTATATAGTCAAATATGGATTTTTTGAATATTTTAATCAAATATTTTATTTTAATCATGAATGGTTTAGCTCCAGGTTGATCTTGATTGGACCAGTAACCTTGTTTAATAATTGATCTGATTAATACCTTACTAAATACATCAAAAAAGTGTGAATCTCAATCTAGGTCCACTCAAGAGAGAAATAATTGCATGTAATTAAGGTCCAAATGAATATGTAATTTCTTTGCATGCCTAAGGTTCTCAATTGAATCTTCAAGTTCAATTACTAAATTGTCCTTGGTGTATAAAAGAAAACTCACCATCGTCACTAGTGGCTAGACAGCCGACATGGGAGCCAACAAATCCTTCAAAATATAAAGTGCATAATAATATATAGACTAACTCTAACCCTACGATCAAGAACTTAGAAATCCCTAATTTCAATCATTAGAAACGGAAGAAACTAAAGCTAGATTTAATTGGCAAAAATAGGACCTAGAGGCTTACCTTGAGCAATTATAGCTTCATTCTCTACCTCCGAGACCTCTAGAACAAAACAGAACCTTAGTAGAGCAAAGCAAAGAGTTTTCACACCTCTGGATTGTGTTTTGGCCGTCTGAACCTTGAAAATTGCAACATGATGCATATTTTACTTCTAGAAACGGACAACCCTCAATAAAGCCTTATCCAGCTTGACATGTTCTTTGTTTAATTTGTGGCTACAATAGGGTTTTTCTGGACCACAATACCTATCCGATTCTAACCCGTTCTTTTTAAATATTTGGACCATCTTATATACCTGTGAGCACTCTGTTTTTCTGTTCTTTTCAACCCTAACTTATATTCTAATGCTCCTAAACCACTTCGAACTCATTTATAACGATTTTAAACACCTTTACATGCTACTCAGAGACATTTAGGGCTTCTGAAACTTAGGATGTAACAAGAGGTATATGCATGATTGGAAAATATTACAACTCGTGACCTAGAGTTTTAAAATTTATATATGTTGGTGTCCCTTTTTTTTTAAAAAAAATTCGGTCCATTTTATGGAGCAATTTGGAATTAAGATGTCCAATCCAACAATAAGAAAGGCAAGAGAGCAGTAGGGTGATTAGGATTCTAATATGAAATTGCTAGAATAAAGTCAATTCTTTATTTGCTAGAATTATAATATGAAATTGTTGTTTGTACCCAAAAATAATTAAACATATATAATTAACAACACCAATTCTCGTGTTGAACTCAAGACCAAGTCACTATATTTATGTTTTCTCAGTACGCATGTGTGATTTGGTGCGCAATTGTATGTTCCAAATTAAACATATATAATTTTATGAAATTAGATGAATGTGATAGTTAGTTGAACCTCATAAGTTATTTTTTAAACAGGTTGTACAACGGGTTTAAAAAGACTTTCTCGGCTTAGAAGCATTTACAAAACCTTTTTTACATTAGTGTTTTAAGCATTCATTTGCAACCTACTGAAACAAAAATGAAAATTTAAGTTGTAAATTTTTTTTGTAACTTCCAGTAATTTGATATTAATTTTTTACTAGCCAAATCATTAATTTGCAACTATTTTTGTTATTTTTTTTAATATGAAACTGAACTTCATTATATTCAATCAGAACGTACCCAAGAAAAATACATACAAAGAAAACCTAAAGCAAAAGAACTGAACCTAAGTGACTGCCACAAATCAGTTAATGGGTGGTAGATCACACAGATTAGAACCATTAGTGTAAAAGATACCCTAAATTGGACTTAAATCATTATAATAACTATGATTAATCAATAACTAACCCAAAAAGATTATCATATAAGAGACTAACCTAAACAAATCCTTAATATGTATTTTTACAAACTATTCAAAATAAAGGAATCCTAAGTCTTTAAAATATTTCAAGAGTTCATATTTTTCAATTAAATATATACGAAAGCATGATTAAGAAATACATCTCAAGATGGGAGAAAAAAACTCTCCTATTATTTTCTCTCTGTACCCTATTTCATATAATATATATTCACTAATATAACACTTGATCACTCAAACCCTTCCATAATTAGTAGCGGGGGGTCAAAATCTCAGTCACATTTATCACAATGACTATTACCTAGTCATCACACTCTATATATTATCTATTCACCAATAGCCTATCATATGCATGAATTCTCTTTTTCAGTCATATATGATTAATATCAACTACTTACCCTTGGACAATGAAGCACAAGTGGAGATCATAACAATACTCCAGTTCTCAAATCATGCATATAATAACTATTTCCATTTGCACAAATATTTTGATCCACAAACATAAACATAAACATTAAATCACATTTTCAAGAGCCTAAAATACATTTTCACCCAACACAGAACCCATAATGCAAGTAAATCAAGAATATATTATCCTAATTTGTAATATCATAAACCAAATACACATATCAAAATAAAAAGAGAAAGGCCTACGAAAGTGATTATTATCGCTTGGCCTAATGCTCATTTCATCTGTTCTTTTCATATGAACTAGCTCCTGTAATATGTTAAAATAGAGGATAAGTACAATCACTTAGTAACTAAGGTACATTTAAGTTATACAAAGATATGATAATTAATCATGAATGTAAGTGGCTAATAAATTCACCAAGATGATCATATAAACAATCATATCAAGATCATGTTATCACATTAACATCTAATTCGTGAATAATCTCAAGAATAAAGTTAAGTACAATATTGCACAAGTGGCCACATATACATTATTGACATATTTACCACATATTCTCATTTTCACAATAGCAATCATAGTCTCAAACATAACAATCAATTGCTTAAATAGCATAATAATAATAAAATGTATGATCAATCTCTTTTTTATATCCCCCCTTATTTCCTCTGACATGAAATCCGTGGGCTAACAATAGGAAGGGATTGTCCATGTAGTGAAACTACTTAAGGCCTTAATCATATCATGAGGGGCAATTGGGCTAAGGTTACCTTACTTACTTATGAACATGGTTTCCCCTAAATCACACACTATGGGATGTCATACCCAAGACTAACTCTACCTAAAAATTCAGATAGGCCAGTAAGGTTAAGTTCTTTAATAAGAATAATGCTAAAGTATCCTACAAGGTAAGTAGTGGTTATAACTCCTCGGATTATCAATTAATAGCCAAGTATCATATAGATTTTGCACAACCATTAACTCTTTCACTAATGCAAACTCCTGCCATATGATTATCCTCATGAGAAAATGCATTTCAATAACTCTCATATATGTTATTCACTATTATCCCACATGCTTATCAACTTTCTTACTCAACAAACATCAATAATCATCATATTTCAATCAGGCCTCATGCATCAATTTTTATATTACTACATAAATCACATTAGCATCATATAAAAAATCAACATGCTCATATATAATTCATCACCATGCATAATTCACAATTTATAGTCAAGAGTATGCACATCATCATCAACTCTCAATCTCATTATACAAATCATGTCATAATTAATTTGGTCACAAATTATAGGATCTTAACAACGCCACATATGCTTTACAAATAACAATTTCAAGATTTAGATACACACACACACATTCATTTGTTTCACAAATATAAATAATTAACTAACACATAAATATATAAAATAAATTTTTCTTCGTTATCTTAACCTTTGAGAAGTCAAAAGTTACTCTTCAGGTTACAACACTTTCAAATCTTTTCAAAACTTGAATGGTGTTAAAAGAAGATTAATCTACAATTAATCATACTCCAATATATCAATAATATTATTAACATAATTTTCACTCATATTCCAATACTTAGGTATTTATTTGATTTTATTTTGTTTTTTAAAACCTTAGTCTTAGCCTCTTGAGTTCTAAAATTTAATTTTATATACTTGAACCTATTTACTTAATTTAATAGCTTCCTTCACAATAATTTTATTGAAGTTTGGCTAAAATCATCATTCAAACAATTTTTTAATATCAAAATTTCTCTTTTTATTCCGAAAATTCACATGAAAATACCCAAAAATTACAAACTTAATCTCAAGTTTAGAATCATTAATCTATAGCCATAATAATTTATTTTTCATTTCAAATAATTATCTAAACATCAACAAATCAATTTATATTTTCAGATTTAACTAAAAATCTACCCATAGAAATTTAGGGTTTAACCCAAAACCCTCAAATTCTAATTCTGTCAATAAAATAATAATTTAGAATATTTACTATACCACCAATAACCTTAATAACTAAATTTATTTATAAAAAATCCATTCCTCTTTCAAACTTTAGATTTTGCATAATCTGAAAATCTGAAA